TGGGCTGGTGGGCGGAGTCATACAACCGTGGGGTGGACTGGTGGGCGGAGTCAAACAACCGTGGGGTGGTAATTCTAATTCCATTTTAATATTTTTAAGGTGTGTGAGCTGGTGCAGAATAATGACATTCAACACAACAGCATGACCTCAAGTGTGATGTTGCTTTCATACTACAGCTTTACAAGCGTCATTTATTAGTTAACATAATAAGCCACAACAGATTGTAATTTGATTGTTTATTTAGGCAAGGTGACTTTATTTATCTAACACATTTCATACCCAAAGGCTACGCAGAGTGCTTTACAGATTAGTCAGGTCAGATTCGTTATAGTCCAATCACAAAGCCTCAAATGGCTGAGCAAATAAAAAATTCAATTCAGTTTCATTTATAAAACCCAATACCACAAATCACAGTCTGGCTCAGAGGGCTGTACAGCGTACGGCATCTCTCTGTCCTTGGACCCTCACAGTGGATAAGAATAAACTCCATCCATCCATTTTCAACTGCTTATCCAAAGTCGGGTCCCAGGTGCAGACGTAAATCTCCCCAGCAACACTTTCCAGCTCCTCCTGGAGGACCCCAAGGTGTTCCCAGGCCAGATGAGATATATAATCCCTGCAGTGTGTTCTGGGTCTGCCCCGGGGCCTCCTACCAGTGGGACGTGCCCAGAACACCTCTAACAGGAGGCGCCCAGGAGGATCCTGATCAGATGTTGAACCACCTCAGCTGAACCCTTTTGACGCAAAGGAGCAGCGGCTCTACTCCAAGCTCCCTACAGATGTCTGACTCCTCCCCCTATCTCTAAGGCTGAGCCCAGACACCCTACAGAGGAAACTCATTTCGGTTGCTTGCATCTGTGACATCATTCTTTCAGTCACTACTGCCTGCAACACTGCAGATGCCTCAACAAACCATCGATCCATCTCACGCTCCATTCTACCCTCACTAATGAACAAGACCCTGAGATATTTGAAAGGAAAAAACTCCCAAAAAGAACCTTAACTGGGGGAAAAAAAGCGGTAGAAACCTCAGGACGAGGAACTGAGGAGGGATCCTTCCTCCAGGACGGACAGACGTGTAATAGATTTAATTATTTATTGGCTCCATCAATATAAATAGTTCTGCAACTGGACTTGACTTCCTGCACACAAGCTTTGACCATTCATTATTTGACTCAGTGTTATTTGGGGAAACATGTTCATCAGTGCCATGCAAAATTTGTTACGATGACAGTTTACGTCATGAGAGCGCTCTGGCACAAAATTGGAGCACTGTTTGAAACTTACTGTTCGTTATTTAGTATAGAAATAGCTTCTATGTTTTTGTGCATAGTGGCCAAGTTTTTTTGATTGTGAGCCATATACAGAAAAATATCCGGAGTCACAGGCCAAACAATAGTAAATGCAAAGTTTTCAACCACTTACACGGCAAGAAAATCAGGTTTTCTAGACCAGAAAAGTCCAACTGCCATTGAAAATTCATTTTCTATCAAAATTACTTCACAGCCTCAACTAAACAGATTAACGTTTGACATTACAGTAGTTTATGAGCGTGTCCACGTGGTACAAAAAGTATTTCTCTTATCATCCGTCTTTTCCGCCATGTTTACTGAGGTAAATATATTTATCAACGTGTAATCAATCATTGTTGGTGAAGTAGTGACATCTAGTGTTCAAATTAAGAAGTGCAATGCTGGTATTAGCCTAGCTGTTTAAGATGGCCGCAGCAGGCTGGGAAATTTACATACAGTGCAGTTTATTAGAAACATGCTCAAGCCGTGCTGTAATTTATTTTTAAAAATTCATTGTGGGCCCTTTAAAAGAGGGCAGCTTGCTGTAGGTTGGCCACCTCCAGTATAGTGTCTGAAACTGAATTCATGAATGCATCAATTAATTAATCTGCCAGTTGTAACCAAGGTCTAAACAGCAAATTATTAAGGGTTTAATGAAAATGCTTTTTCCATAGTTTTGCTGTGGTTAAACGTGGACCCCAGTGACTTTAATCAATTACGAATTGACTCTGTTTTTGGATCCTTCGTTCACTGAGAGAAAAACAAAGTTTCCTCCATGAATTCAAGGTGACACTGGGCGAGTAACTGATAAACAAATGATCACTTTGTTGGTGAAGTGTTCCTTTAAGAAAACGTCTACAGGCAGCTCTTCATCGGCTGTATTGACAATGTCATATTTGCTTAGGAATTATGAATTCGTCTAAACTCACCCACCAAGTCACAGAGTGAATATTTACTCAGCAACCCGGGATGACATTAGCTCTTGTTGAAATCACACTGACATTAACTGAAATGACTCAGGAGGAAGTCAGGCACATCTTGTGAGAAACATTTCGAAAGCAGGTCACCTACCTGCTCAGAAAAACAGAACTCTGGTAGAGTATCACAGGGTGTTGACTTAAGCCATGACTCAAGTGTGACAGTTAATTCTCCATCTTTGTTTGTGTGTGTGTGCTCAGTGAAAAGAAGATCAAGTTTGATCACTACCTGGTGCCGAACTCTCTGGTGGAGCTCAGTCTGCTCTACATAGACCAAGGCAAGAGGGACGAGGCTGTTAAACTGCTGCACAAGGCCAAGTAAGTTCCTCCTGTACAGCAGCTTCACTGGTGCATACTGTACAACAGCAGAGAGCAGCAGGCACGTCCTGCCACAGAGATCCAGGAAGATGAATGTGTCATTGTTACGAACCCTTAAGGGCCTAGGGGAGGGGAGGTAACAATTAACACAAATAACCAATAATGAAGAACACGGGAGTAAACTAAAGCGACTGCAAGGCAGTGATTTATTGACGATTGCAAAACACAAAAGAAGCTCCCAAATAAGGGGAGCCGACTAGCAACAAGAATGATATAACAGATAATCAGTAATCAATAACAAAGGCAGAAGAATAAACACTGGGACTGGGTCACTAAACACCCGAGCGCACACAGCTACGGTCTGCACTGCACACTGCTGGAAAGGCCCACTAGCCACCGGCTCCAGTTTTCCATGGTGGTTTTAATCACACCGCTGTGATGGGCCACAGCTGTGGTAATCAGCGGAGGGAGGAGGGGGGGGCGGTACCTGGCGAGAGAGAGAACACAAAACAACACCAAACACAACACGGCACATAACAGTCATTTTCATTCTCGTGTCCACAGAATATAACTCATGTAATACAGAAATGAAATGTTTAATGTAGGTAAACCAGCAGCCTGTAATATAAAACATGTTTAACACCTAATGTGCCTGTGTGCACATTAGCTCTGGTTGAGGGTGAGAGGCTGTCAGCAGATAAACAGAGATCTGTGTGGGTACATGAGACCCTAAAAAAGAGGCTGGATCATGGGGAGTACCACCAGTTGGTCCAGGAGCTTCTCCTCCATCATGGACGTTTACAGGCAGATTTTAGGAAGACTCAGGGGCAGTTTGACAACCTATAGCTCTGGGTATCCAGCAACCACTACCACCAGTTTCTCCTCCATTGTTTACCAACTGTAAACTTGTTGTGGTGACAACCACAGAAGACCCGCCCCTCAAATCATCCCATTGGACAGTGCTGATCAGCAGAGCTCTGTGGGTTGACCTCCATCTTGTATCCGTTTGTATCTCCAAGCTAACGTCAAGTGATAACGTAAAGCTGTTTCTTTTCATTTTGGCGTTTTCAGGTTGTCCGTCGGTCCCATTCTCATTCTCATGAACACAATATTTCAAAGACACCTTTAGGTAATTTCTGCAAATTTGGCACAAACATCCACTTTGAAAGATTTCAAGGATGCACTAATTCGAATTTGGTGGTCACAGTTTAAGGTCACTGTGACCTCGTCCGCCACATTGTTGTAAACGCCGTGTGTCAAGAGCATTATGAGGGAATTTTTTTCACATTTGGCACAAACGTTCACTGTGAGTCAAAGAAACTCATTATGTTGTGTTTCATGTTGCGTTACTCGCTCAAGTGTGAACGCTAGAATATTTTGTTGACTCGCTTCATTTGCGCCAATAACTCACAGAATCTAATCAACATCCGCTGACATCATACGTCCCCTGAGGATCTCAGTGCTGATTGGTTACTGCAGAGAGAAACCGTCGCTAAAGTTCAGATTTTCAACTCTTGCGAATAAGTGTATGACAGGAAATGATGCTACTTTCGTGTAATTTGCGTCGAATGCATCGTGTCCATCGCGCTGCCTAGTGGGAATTTGCATCTAATCACATCTTCACATTGACTTTACGTGTAATTTATTCACAGGAATTGTTTTATTTGCGCCTGGTGTGAACACAACATTAGAATTTGGTGGTCAAAGGTCACTGTGACCTCGTCCGATGCATTGTTGTGAACGCTGTACCTCAAGAACCCCATTATGTTGTGTTGACTTGAATCGATGAAAGAACTTCCGCCAGTATGTTCTCGGCGTCATACATCCCAGGAGGATCTCAATGCTGATTGGCTATCGTGGCACAAATTGGTCGCTGAAGTTAAGATTTTTCAACTCTTGCGAATAAGTGCATGACGCAAAATAATGTTACTCATTTCATTCACACTGCTTAATTTGCATTATTATTATTTGCATTATTTGTGTCGCATGCATCGCGCCGTCTGGCTAGACTTGGTGTCTAATCACATCTTTACATTGACTTTACATGTAATTCATTCACGTTTTGTTTTATTCGGGCCCTGTGTGAACACATCAGACTTTGGTGGTCAAAGGTCACTGTGACCTCGTCCGTTGCATTGTCATGAACACAGTATCTCAAGAACACCTTGAGGGAATGTCCTCAGATTTGGCAAAAACGTTCACTTGAACTCATGAATGAACTGTTTGGAACTTGGGGGTGGAAAGTTCATTCAATTCATGACACAAATATGTAATAGAATTAAATGATGACGTGATGATACAGACGATACACAAACAAGGTCACCTTCACTGTGACATCATCATGTTTTAACGTCATATCTCAGGAACAGAAGGGGAGACATTTGGTCAGATACTGAATTGGTGACTCTAATATTGAAACTGTGCTGAAGTTGAGCAATATTCAAACATTTTTTCATCTATATGACTTATTATATTTATTTACTGCAGTTAGAATCATTTCACCAACAAAGTCTTTATTACAGGACTGTTTGAACAGGATTATCTCTGCAGTGTGTTGGTGGTTCTGTCTGTGTGGTTGCTCAGTGTAAAGCCACTACATGAACACTAGAGGTCGCTGTCTGCCTGTTACACAGACTGTAGATATGAAAGGCTTTATTACCCCAAACCTTATCCGCTCACTGGAGATAAAGATACTTCAAGATTATTTTCACATTAAAGGTGCTGATAACAAACACTGTATTTACTGCACACATTATTTTTCAGCCCTCTGCTTCCTGTTCCGTCCTTCTTTAACCTCCTCGCTGCTTCCATTCACAGACACAACTACAAAGAATACTCAATGGAGTCTCGCACACAGTTCAGGGTGCACGCTGCTCTGGCCAAACTCAAGGCTGACCCTGGAGACGAGGAGGACACTCACATGTAGGAGGACATTTCCAAACACTGGACTGTGTTTCCTCGACAGTCACGGCTGTTTTAGCTCGATACCCAGTGTTTTTTAACCTATATCCATTTTTACAAAGTGAGTGCTGGGTGTTTTACTGACATGTCGCTGGACAAAAGGTCTCACCTGTTTTACAGCAGTCTGTGCTTCCCAGACGAGGGACAGTGTACATACGGTAGACGATTTATGTCATGGACACTGTTTTTATTGTTTACACTGAAAATTAAAGAACACTTCATTTTAATCAACAGCTTATTGAAAGCCACTATAAATATCTAATGTTGTGATTTATTGAAATGTATAGTGATGACTTTATTTTATTGTACTGAAGGACATGATTATTAGTTAATTAAGTAACTTTGGAATGACGTTTTAAAGTGTTCAGATGTTTACGGTATTTTACAGAGGAGGATTAGGGCCACATTAAAAAAAAAGATTTTGGAATAAAGTTATAATAATATGAAAATAAAGTCGTAGTTTTGAGAAAAAGATTGTACTATAATGAGAATAAAGTCAAAATGTATCCTATTTCAAGAAAAAAAATGAAATGTTACAAGAATTAAGTTGTAATTTTACAAGAAAAAGTTAATATTATGTGATTAAAATCATAAATCTTCAAGGAAAAATTCGCCAGGGATTTTGTCGCCATTTTTATCATGTCACCCGATTTTCTGGCATCATTTTTTCATATATATGTTTATAAGTTAAATCTTACAATGACAATTTTTTCTCGCAAAATTACGACTAATTCTCGTAATGACTTTTTTTGCATAATAGTTTGACTTTATTCTCATTAAATTCCAACTTTACAGTTAAATGTCTTTATTCTCATCAAATTACAACTTCATTCTCGTAATATCACAACTTTTTATTTGTTGAAAATAATAATAATAAAAATACGGCTTTACTCTCAATATCATGACCTTTCTTGAAACGGTACAACTTAATTCTCGTAAAATTACAATTTTGTCACGTTTCAACTTTTCCTCGACATAGTATGTCTTTATTCTCATTAAATTTTGACTTTCTTCATAATAGTATGACTTTATAATAATTAAAGGCAAAAAGCCCTAAAAATATCTTTAAAAAAAACAAAAAACTATTTTAAAAAGTTTGTGAGAGCAAAATTGTATTTAAGAAAAAAGTCTAAATAAAATGAGAAAATTTTCGAGAAAAAGTTAATATTGTGAGTCAAGTAGTAATTTAGAGGGAAAAAAAGGAATATTACAAAAATAAATATGTAATTTAATGACAGGATAGTGAAGTGTGAAAGGGGGAGAGAGAGAGGGAGAGACATGCAGCAAAGGGCTTCAGGCTGGAGTCGAACCCGGACCGCTGCGGCGCCTGCTCTACCACTAGTCCACCAACGCCCCTTTAAAATAGTTTGACTTTGTTCTCGTAATATTGACTTTTTTCCTCTGAAATACCACATTAGTCACAAAATTACTTTATTCTTGTAATGAGTTTTTTCTCCAAATAGTACGACTTTACTTTCATTATATTACAACTTTTTTTTAATAGTGACTTCTGGAATAATGTCTTTTTGTAATACATTTTTTAATGTAGCACTAATCCTCCTTTGTAGTATTTCACACACAACTGCATAAAAACAATTAATGCCAAAGTTCTAAAACCTAATTTAATTTTTGAAGACATTTCGGACCCAAAGTCAGGAGCCAGCAGAGTCGTGCGTACGAGCATGGTGCACCGCCGCTGACACACACTGAAGAGGTGAAACAACTGTTTACTGTTGTTTTAATCTCACTTGTTGGTGAGTTTTAATTAGTCAAGTTTCAGCATTCAGGCACATCTGGATCGGTGCGCGCACCTTCCAAACACTTCTGAATGTATGAAAATTATTTTTGCACAAATAAATTCAACACGCAAACGTCTGTGTTTTGTCTTGATTTTACTAAATGAGCATCATTCTGCAGTTTGTCATCTTGTAATATTCATCTTCTTCCTTTAAGAATATTTTAGACAAAATTCAGTTTGTAAAGAAATTAATTTATTTCAGGTCATTTTTTACAGAAGAAAAAGATCATGGATGGTGTTTTCTTTAAAGGGAACATGAGACAACACAAACAGGAACTGTAACTTAGAAACTCTTAAATATCCGACTGAGCTGCAGCACACCGTCCATCTCATTCAACACAGTTCGACCGAGGCCCAGCAGATAGTTCTATCTGAAATGACTCAGTCCAAGACTACGAGGAGGCAGCAGGAGGTGTGACGGGGGGTGCCGCCGATACCTGCTCCTCTCTCTGTCTGCGTTTCTGGAGTTTCTTCTTCCTCTTGTCTTCCTTTTCGATTTCAGCAATAAGTTCCAAGAACCTGGGGCTGCGGGGGTCCACGTTGTAGCCAAAACGCTCTCTGGCCTCGACCAGCAACTTTGCACGGCGAGCTTTCTCCGCCTTCAGCTTGAGCTTGGCTTCACGCTTCTCTTTGCGCCAGTCAGCTATCATCTTGGGCATTTTGGCCATGTTAGCTGCTATGAGCTTCTCCCTGCGATGGAAATGGAAAAGATTAGTATAACAGATGTTCATGTGGTGCATGATGCATAGCTGCACAATGCTCGCTTGGTTCAGATTATGTCTCCACAACTATGAGATGGATTGCTGTGACATTTGGTACGGTTCATGTTCCTCGCACGATGAATTGTAATAACTCAGATCATGATCTCGTCTCTTCCTCTTCCTCGTGTTTTTATTTGGATCTCTTTCGGCCAAGGACAAGTCTGTCCGTCCATATTCCACAGCCTGTACTAAAATGACAATGAAGAAATACAGCACACGCATACACATCGATACCTGTTATTTATTTGGGACCATGCACATTAAAACTGTGGTAGGAAGTTTTGTTTTGATGCCATTGGGTAAATTTCCCATAATAAACTTTAAGCATATTGTAATTCAAGTGGTCTGAAGGAAAACTGGACTCCTGCACCTCCTCTTGGCTCTGTTTTCAGGTTTTAGAAAATCTAAGAGACGAGAGACTTTGACTAATCACAGGTCATTTCAGAGAGAGGGCGTTCCTATTGGCTGTTCTACAAATGCAGATGTGCGTGCACGTCCTGTCAGACGGTGAAAACCTGATTCAATGGCAGAGAATCCTGAAGAGAAAGTTGCTACTCCAGCATTGGCAGCAACTGCCGACACTGCAAAGCAACCCAAAAAAAGGAGACAGACTGAAGTTCAAGCCTCAAATCGTAGCGTGTCCTCCGCCTCAGTCCCCGCCGCTACAGACTACCTGACTGGGAGTTGAGTGGGCAGCAGCTCCAGTTAGCGGCCACAGCAACTCAAATCCATCAAGCACAAACCCTAGCTCTGGGGGACCGGACTACCCCGACATCCCAAACTTTGATCTCTGATCAGCAAACTTTCTGTTGCTGCTGTTACACTGGTTTGACCCGGTGCTGCTGCTGTTGGCCACCAGCCTGCTGTGACATCCAACGCTGGCTGAATTTGAGCCATTATAGCTGCTGATCGTAGCTCCATATTCAGAGCTGCTGCCTGTTCTCCCGGTGAAGCAGTCCACAGGGCGGGGAGCAAGGCGGAGAGACCGTGAGGTGTCTACCAGCTTCTTGTTTCATCTGTGGTCTGATAAACAGAGAAAGAGCTCCACAATGAAAACAGATTAAATGAACCAATGTATAAGAAGCACTGGGTTACTGTATGAAACGTGTGCAGATGCCTGTGGTCGTCTAGTGGGAGGGGCTTAGGACAGAGAGGAGAGCTGCAGGAAGGTTTTTCGCTTTTTTCGCTTTTCCAGATTTCTGCCCCACCCCCCCATCTTTTCTCAACATACACTTTAACATCAGTACATGCACATCAATAACAACAATAAATCAACTGCCTCTTGTTTAGTTTGCTGCTTTATCTCGGTTTTACGTTGTTTAACTTTTTTAATTAAAAGGCTGTGATAATCAGGTACATTTCCTAAAGATTTATTTTCCTTAAAGAATATTGTTTAATTGTTATGTTTTCTAGAACAATGTGCAATGTTCATGACGCATGATGCAAAGCAAATAACAAGATCTAAATGGCCCTTACAATATACGATGTTTGATCTTCAGGGTTCCCACACAATTTCATGGACAAAATATCAAAAAATTTCTGCGACTTTTCAAGGACCCCTGACAATTTATTCTCTTGCCCCGCTTGCCGGGTGTTTTTCAAACATATCAAACATTCAAACTCCATTCAAACAAATTTTCAGCGAGATGGCGTAGCTGAAGAAAGAGACTGAACACGGGGAGAAAATAAAGACACGTATGTGATGGTAAATAAAACGTTTTCACACATCGATGCATATTAAAGCGTAACATCGACAGCTACAGATAATAAATTTGCTGCTATGTTAAAATATTTGGAAGGTAATCCATGGAGGATTACTGTCACACTTTCATTACACACAACGATGACTTATCCAGGCCTAGAAAATGTAACTGTGAAATTCCATGACGTCACCAGGTTTTCCACGACCGTGGGAACTCTGAACTTTGTAGTTTATTTTAAATTAAATTTTGACTGTTTTCTGAAATTTTTCTTGCTTTCTGTCATCTAATCCAGGTTTAAATTTCTGTTAAACGTCAGGGAACTTATTTGTTTGAAACATTCCTTGCAGTATGTTGACAGCATCTTATTATATTAAAGGTGCTTCCCAATTGCATGATGGGGAATGTAGGATCCAGCCTATTTGGAGCCTGATCCATACTGCAGTCTGAGGGGACTTGTTTCATCTCTCTTGTGAGTTCAAGTGGTTTCATTCATTTTTTGCCATTTTTCTGTCGTTAATTACGGAAATACAAACACGTTAGTGCCATAAAAGCAATAGAATGATTTTGTACGCCGGCGATGGCCAGGGCTGGAGGCGTTATGTCTTCTGGTTTTCAGGGAATTTCCCCAACTTTGGCGCAAACGTCCACTTGGACTTGCAAATGAACTGACTGGAATATGGTGGTCGGTAATTATGACAGTATATCACACACATGTCTAATAGGATAAAATAATGAAGTGATGACATTATATAGCTAAAAGGTCAAAGGTCAACTTCACTGTGACATAACATTCTTCTGGATACTGACTGAACTGGTGGCGTTGATCTTTGGTGTCCACCTTTAACCTGTGCTGATTGTATAGATCTGTGCTGTAAACACAAAGTGTAAGGCCAATTAATTGATTGTTCATTGCCTCATTTATTAGTCATATTAGTCAAGTATTGATTATTACCATTTATTAACAAAGAAGCTGATGGAGCTGTTGTGGCAGTTGCCTGGCTAACTGAGTAGTCCTACTTGATGCAGTACCTCACTAGGTATTAGTATTTTTACTTAAGTAAAAGATGTGAGTACTTGTAAACAGGAGGTAACACATCCTGACCTGTTATATTCATGCTAGCACAGAGCTACACTGAGAGTCAACAGAACTGCGGTCAGGCTAACCAGCTGTCCGATAATGGACGCATTAGCCGTTAGCTACGTTAGCATGTCTCACCTCTCCAGCCGCTTCTTGGTTTCCTCCTTCTCCCTGACCTCGATGTTCTTCAGCATCACGTCTAGCGGAGGGTGCCACTCCTTCTCCTCTGCGATGATCTTGTCCAGCTCCTCGTCGCTGGGCCACAGAGAGGCAGGATCAATGCCCGACGCCGACCCGTACCGACCGAACAGCTTCCTGTCGTACCGGGCCGACTTCTGCCACTCCGGTGTCTTCTGGCTGTCCTTGTCCGGGATGTACGGATCACGGAGGTTGAGCTTTAATGGTCTGGGGTTATAGGACGCTGTCTGCAGCAGAGAGGACGCGGAAAGTACAGGTTTTGAACATGAAAGTCCCTTAAAAGTCCGACATAACATTGCCGTCCTGCAGCATAGCATGGACGCCGCCATTTTTCTTCCTCAACAAGAAGGACCCCGGAGAGGAGACAGAGGTGACCGCCGCAGTGCCTGCTCGCCACGGCAGGTGAGTCCATGTGCTCTCAAATGTTTGTCTACACAATAAAACATCACACTTCAGTTATACGGAATATGTTAATACAAAAAAGTTGACTAAAACTGCTTTTAATAAAACACAGGAGTTACTTTAAGTTAGTGTATGACACAAAAGAAATCCAAAAGGATGATGGTGTTGAAACAACCAATCTACAAGTCAGTTAGTTGATCTACAGAAAATTATTCGACGAAGATTTTAATTATTAATGTAGTGTTTATCAATTGTTGAGCAAAAATAGCAACCATTCTGTATTTCCATCTTCTCAAAAGTGTTGTTTGCGTCTTTTCTCTTTTCTTACATCAATTTAAATTAAATGTCCTGGACTGTTTAAAGAAACAAGCAGTTTGAAGACTTTGCTTCGATGTCTGAGGAATTGTTTTTAACCATTTTTATTGTTTTGACATTTTAAGTGGTGGAGGAAGTAGTTAGTTTACTTTATTTGACATGGACACCATAGTCACATTGTAACACCTGTGCACAGTATGATTTTTAAAAGTTGAATAGAAAAAGAAAATGAAGTACACCACAAATACATCTACAACGTGCAGGTGTGTCTACAGAGGTATTAGGTGGGAGAACAATGTTGCCATGATTTAACACCTCTAAAAAACATTGAAATTGTGCTGCATTCAATTCAGTTTATAGAGAGTTCCATAGTTGTTTTTTTTTAACAGAGACGACTGGCTGACCAAATGAGGTTTTGCGTAATGCCAGTCTTGGTGTTTAATTAGGCCTGTTTATTTAAAAAAAAAATGAATTAAAATGATGAAATAAAATAGCTTTTTCAATGTTTTTTTTGTTAGATGCCTCAAATAAAGTCTGTGTATCACACAAGCCGGAGAGACTTTCAAATTTGGTTCTACGACATAAAATACCCCACTTGTAAATTTTGAAGCTTTTA